AAGTATTCCTTCCACCGTCCGACAATGTCCCCAGTTGAGGTCAACAGCTGCCCACCTCCACTGTAAACAGTTTTGGCAGGGCACTGCTTCCCTCTCCTGAGGCGCCGGACAGTTTGCCAGAATTTCTTCGAGGCCGACCGATAGTCCTTCTCCATGGCCTCACCGAACTCTTCCCAGACCTGGGTTTTTGCTTCCGCAACCACCCAGGATGCAGTCCGCTTAGCCTGCCGGTACCCGTCAGCTGCCTCAGGTGTCCCACTGTTAGGGCCGCTCGACACAACAATAAGCGGATGGCAGCCCTTACTTCCCGCGTCCACCACCGGGCTCGGGGATTGCCACCACGACAGGTACCGGAGACCTTACGGCTACAGCTCCGAACGGCGACATCGACAATGGAGGCGGAGAATATGGTCCACTCGGACTCAATATTCCCAACCTCCCCCGGGATCTGGTCAAAGCTCTGCCGGAGGTGGGAGTTGAAGATCTCTCTGACAGGGGATTCTGCTAAACGTTCCAGAGACATAGCAGAATCCCCTGTTTCTGGATGTGATTTGGGAAAAATAACAATCACTGGCTGCATGTGACAACCTCAATGTCAAATTCCTGAGTAAATACTGTGAGTAATAAATACTGTGAGTAATAAAATGTTTTCATTGTCCTTTCTCCACCTGTTTTAACTTCTTTCCTGTTTTCATCTTGCATTCAATTCTTCCTCCCCTTCTCTTCTCTCCACAGGCAACAGTCTCTCTTCCATGTTCTTGCTGCATATTCAGTCTACAACACAGTAAGTAGCCGTTTTCCCTCCATCACATGAAACATTAAAATATCAAATTACCTGATAATCTAGATTCAGACTAAACCTGTGGAACAAACATGCTCAAAGGTGCTTGCGGTTGCATTACTGTGGTTCCACTTTGGCAGGCAACCAGGGAAACGTGCTTTTCTGTGACCAGATATGCAGATTTTTCCCCAGAGGTCATTGATCTGGTGCGACACTGTGCCGCATCACAGGCACACTAGTCAGGAGTAAAAAAAAAACAGCATCTGGAAAACCCACAAATGTGATTGTTCTTCTGTCATGTGTCCTGCAGGAGGTGAGCTACTGCCAGGGGATGAGTCAGATCGCTGCCTTGCTGCTCATGTACATGAACGAGGAAGACGCCTTCTGGGCCCTGTCACAGCTGCTGACCAATCAGAAGCACGCCATGCATGGTGAGACGTCACAGGGATCTTATCTGCACTTGACAATAAAAAAAACATTCTTGCATTTTTTTGGGATGCAAGGCTTCCAAAAACAGGAAACAACGTTGAAGTCATGTTGTGCAGATCTTGCTCTGTGGGGTGTCCGAGCGACAGCAGGCTGCGCTGCTTGCAGAGTGTGATTTGACTCCTAACAGTGCCTCTCTACTCTCACTTCGTTTTTAAGGATTTTTTGTTCCCGGGTTCCCCAAGCTTCAGCGATTCCAGGCACATCATGACCAGATTATTTCCAAACTCATCCCTAAGCTGAAGAAACATCTGGTGAGATCACAGTTGCACAACACTGCAGCCAGAACTGATTTGTGGTGATGTTCCTGGTAGTTTGATGCACTGGAGATGTTTACTGATTCTCTCTCTCTCCCCCCAGGACAGGGAGCAGATGTCTGCGGGGATTTACTGCACTAAATGGTTCCTACAGTGTTTTATTGACAGGGTGAGGAACCCGCCTGGTCGATGTGTTCCCTCTTTATCCCCCTGAAATCTCACACTCTTTATCTCACCTTCTCTAATGAAATTCAGTCCCATTCAAAGTAGCACTTGAACAGGAACCCAGAGCGTGTGTAATTATTATGTTATTGGAAGAAAACTTACAAACAAATCGCTTGACTGGTGTGTCACTGAAGGCCACAAGGCCATTTCTTCCTGTGGAAAATCTGATGTCAGAGAGTTGTCTATAAAATATTCACTTTATAAATGTGCATATGGGCATAGGATACTACGTATATCATGGTAGGCTTGCCCGTGTTTTGAATGTACTTCACCGACAGAGACGGTGAGCAGCAGTGGCCAAGCGAGCTAGCGTGTGAATGAAGAGAGGGAGCGGCACAAAGTGGTGAATCACAGAGATAAAACAGTATTTCTGATTGTTTCATGGTGGTTGCATTTGCAAGCACACAAACACAGCCACACCTCTGCACAACCCCTCTGGAAGGCTTTTATGTGAAGGTAAACTATCATGGGAATATTGCTTTTAGATGTAGCCTAATGGCATTAAGTAGAAACTGAGCTGCCTTGGCGGAGGTCTCTGCTCTCTGAGTGCTGTTGAGTTCTACATGATTTCAGCAGAAAAACATCTTGATGATATGTGAGCTCGGAGACATTAGAAGACAGCACTAAGAGCTGTTAAGCTAAACTGCTATTAGTCTCCTCCATGCATGCCCACAATCTTGTGGTGGTGGTCTGGCAAGGTTTGGCTACTGTCAGCACTTCTCTGACCTGCTGATGCGCTCGGCTCCGAGGGGCCCGGGGCCTCTGAGGTCTGGGAATGAACCAAACAAACCTCCTGACTCCGGCCGGGAAGAGAGCTGCAGATATGTGAAACCGCTAGCATAAAAAAACCATACTAATTGGCAGTAATACTGTGACTTGTGTTTGTGATCCTGCAGACGCCGTTCACCCTGACCCTTCGTCTGTGGGACATTTTCATCCTGGAGGGAGAGAGGCTGCTCACTGCCATGTCTTACACCGTCCTGAAGATGCATAAGAGTAAGGACAATCACTTCACCACAAACAGATAAATCATTATCTGCTCCACTCGCTTTTAGCCTTTAAATAAACTAATGAACGGACTGATTTTGAAGATTTTCAGCAGTTTGTTTTTTCTTAAAGACTGCCAGTGTGAAAATTTGGGAAAGCCTGGACATGTTTGTCTTAGCCACCAATTACTCATAGCTGTGGGTCATTTTGAACTCTTCTTGGCAGCCAAATGATAAAAACCAGCAACTACATGTGAACGTCAGAAGGCCTAGTGCTTCAGGTTTTATATTCAGACTTTGTGCACCTTTATATAAATGAACATGACATGTTCTAATGTAGACTTTCATCTTTTGTACTGATTGTGCTAGAAGGGTTTCAGTGTCAGTCACCAAAGTAAACTACCGCTGCTGTAGAGTTGTGAAGTAAGACAAATGATTTCAGACATAGTGTGAAGCTGTTTTATATGTGCATACAAAAGCAATGCTTTCTCACACTTGGTTGTAAATATTGTAAGCATGTTTTTGTGCAAAACCTTGTTTCCATCTAACAAAATAAGCCAAAATTTTCCTGTGTCAAGTGTCATTGCGATACAAACAGCTGTACAAGAACTTAGCCCAAATAAAGTGAAAACGAAATCACTTAAATTAGCAAATGTCTGATCAAAGAAATATGTTGACAACAATTCAAAACGTGATGTTGGTCCTCAGCACCAGACAGTTTCAATAGTACTACAAATGCATTTTGATCGGCCAAGCAGTCGAGGTTTGACGCGGCTGATTCAAACATGCCCTATCACTCAGAGGGAGATGCTGCTACACACCAGAGGTCATATCTGTGGGTTTAACAGACCAACTGTGCGTCCGTCTGTGTGCAGAGCGTCTGTTGAAGATGTGCCTGGAGGAGCTCAGAGAGTTTCTGCAGGAGCGAATTGCTCAGACTTTCTTCTGCAGTGACGACGTGGTCATCGAGCAGCTTCAGGCCTCCATGACTGAGCTGAGGAAGATGAAGCTGGACCTTCCTCCTCCGGGTACACACAGCACTAAAAGTCTTACAACACCTAAGTTTCCATATTGCTAACATGATGCATTACTTTGCCGAGTATAAATGCTCCTGGTTTGTTTTCAGGGAAGCCAGACGAGCTGCCTCGTAAGCCTCTGGGCCAGGAGCTCCCGGTGCTTTTGAGTCCAGTCCAGCCTTTCAGAGGGAAGCCGTCCTCGGCCGGAGGTTTCCCCAGAGCGGGCCTGAGCCTCCACATCATCTCCCATCAGCCTGAGTCCATATCCCCAGATCAGAGTCCCTCCAAGGACCCCAGGGATCTTGACGCCGTGGATGAGGAAGAGGCCCCTCTGCCTTCCCCGGACCCCATCATCATCATCCACAGCCAGGCCCTGCTCACCCCTGAGGGCTCCCCACTGATGGGCCCCCCACCTTACCAGCCCCCAGAGAGCCAGACAGTGGTCAGAGGGGATCAGGCGCCACTGCCAGATCAGGACGAACTGCGACCTAATGCAACCATCACCACAGGGCCTCCCTCAGCTCCACAGACTGCTGATGTGTCCTCACCGTCCTCTACGGACTACTCCTCTGTGGCCGTCAACACCGACCAATCCTGCTGCAGGCTCCCGCAGACTCTCTCAGCACCCGTATGCCAGAGGGCTTCGCCGGCTTTAGGCGTGGCTCAGTCTGAGAGTTTGTTGGCAGCAGAGAGTACAGAGGACAGTCACCAGGTCCAGCTGCTAGAGCAGGCCTTGGCACTGTGCACCAACAGGATCATAAAACAGGATGTAAGCGCAGAATTAGAGGAAACACAGGCTGCAGACGTGTCCTGAAATGATATGTGATAGTTCTCCGTTAACTGGATAATGTGTCAGTATAGGACCTGGATCTGCCGTTTCCCCCTGTTTTTACATAGGCCATGTTTGGGCAGGTAAAACAGTGTCGCGGTTGAGGTTACTGTTAATGATTTGGTGAAGAACTACAGAAGTATGATCTATCAGTCAGATTATCAGTGTCAAGCAATAGTTGCTTAAAATGTCTTATTGGTATCGGGTCCAGTGTTAATATAAGCAATCTGTTTTTATTCTCTAACTTTCTTTAACTTCGTAAAACTTATGTAATGACTGTAAGAAGACGTTTCCTCCTTGTATGTATTTAAATCTGCTGTCATGTGAGGTGACAGTGTGACTCTTTATATTAGGTACGTAGCAGTGCAAAATGTCCGTGAAGATTCTCTATCATCTAGTTCATCAGATATCTAGAAGGAGAAGTCAAGTGGACTGAAACACTAAAAACAGCAGGTCCGTCTTTAGAATTGTACTGAAAGTTGAGCTAGGATTAAAAGCTTTGTTTATAGTATGAAGCTTCCTACCCTAACTTCCAGCAGGGGAGTGATGACTCCTGGGTTTGTGTTTTATCTCCGTTGTGCAGTAGAGCATTAGACACCTTTTTGTGTGTCTAGGCAAATAACTTAAGGTAGGTAGGAAGGTAGGTAGGTAGGTACAGTGGGTACGGAAAGTATTCAGACCCCCTTAAATTTGTCACTCTTTGTTATATTTCAGCCATATGCTAAAGTCATTTAAGTTCATTTTTTCCTCATTAATGTACACACAGCACCCCATATTGACAGAAAAACACAGAATTTTTGACATTTTTGCAGATTTATTAAAAAAGAAAAACTGAAATATCACATGGTCATAAGTATTCTGACCCTTTGCTCAGTATTTAGTAGAAGCACCCCTTTGAGCTAATACAGCCATGAGTCTTTTTGGGAATGATGCAACAAGTTTTTCACACCTGCATTTGGGGATACTCTGCCATTCCTCCTTGCAGATCCTCTCCAGTTCTGTCAGGTTGGATGGTAAACATTGGTTGACATTTTCAGGTCTCTCCAGAGATGCTAAATTGGGTTTAAGTCAGGGCTCTGGCTGGACCATTCAAGAACAGTCACGGAGTTATTGTGAAGCCGCTCCTTCGTTATTTTAGCTGTGTGCTTAGGGTCATCGTCATGTTGGAAGGTGAACCTTCGGCCCAGCCTGAGGTCCTGAGCACTCTGGAGAAGGTTTTCGTCCAGGATACAGTGCCTTGCGAAAGTATTCGGCCCCCTTGAACTTTGCGACCTTTTGCCACATTTCAGGCTTCAAACATAAAGATATAAAACTGTAATTTTTTGTGAAGAATCAACAACAAGTGGGACACAATCATGAAGTGGAACAAAATTTATTGGATATTTCAAACTTTTTTAACAAATAAAAAACTGAAAAATTGGGCGTGCAAAATTATTCAGCCCCCTTAAGTTAATACTTTGTAGCGCCACCTTTTGCTGCGATTACAGCTGTAAGTCACTTGGGGTATGTCTCTATCAGTTTTGCACATCGAGAGACTGAAATTTTTGCCCATGCCTCCTTGCAAAACAGCTCGAGCTCAGTGAGGTTGGATGGAGAGCATTTGTGAACAGCAGTTTTCAGTCCCATTGAGCATCTCTGGAGAGACCTGAAAATGTCAACCAATGTTTACCATCCAACCTGACAGAACTGGAGAGGATCTGCAAGGAGGAATGGCAGAGGATCCCCAAATGCAGGTGTGAAAAACTTGTTGCATCATTCCTAAAAAGACTCATGGCTGTATTAGCTCCAAAGGGTGCTTCTACTAAATACTGAGCAAAGGGTCTGAATACTTATGACCATGTGATATTTCAGTTTTTCTTTTTTAATAAATCTGCAAAAATGTCAAAAATTCTGTGTTTTTCTGTCAATATGGGGTGCTGTGTGTACATTAATGAGGAAAAAAATGAACTTAAATGATTTTAGCATATGGCTGCAATATAACAAAGAGTGACAAATTTAAAGGGGGTCTGAATACTTTCCGTACCCACTGTAGGTAGAACTTTTTTGATCCCACAGCGTGCAGAAATATGATGCCAAATTAAAGTTAAGTTTAAATCTCTTAAGGACATTTACTAATAAGTTATTTGTATGGCAAAGTGTAGGTAAGCATTGGCAAACCATTTGTGTGACTTAAAGAATGAAAGTATACACAACTTAAAGGGCTGGAAGTTTGACTCAGCAGTGTGAAACTGGCTGAGTCAGCCCAGTCCAGTCACACTGGTTTATAATGCTTATAACACTCAGCAAGCCCACATATGTCGATTTCTTCTGGAAGACTTTTTTGCCTTCATCATAAATGCTACTCAGCTTTTGTCAAATTGGCATCCTTTAATAAGCTCATTGTCAGTGTGTCTCCTCACACAGGACGTCTGCAGCTAAACGCCAGCTCCTCACTGGTTAAACTGACCTGGAGCTTTCCCAAACATCGGGACAGACAGGAGTGATTATCTTGGTGAATAAAGTTGACAATGCTTTTACTTTTAGGCCCAGAAGCAGGACCACATACTGTATGTGTCACCAAGAATAGCTGGCCAGTTGGGGCTGATTTTGGCCTTCTGTGGCTCTGCTGGAGCTTCAAGTCTAAGAAAATGACTCCTGTTCACCTGACGCAGGCGTCATTAGGGTTTTCTCCACTTCGGCTCGGAGACTAAAAACCTTTAACGAAAAGCCTGAGCTACAAACAGGAGATATGTAGTTTATTAGATGTGGATCCTGACCTGGACCTAATGAAGAGATGCTATCAAGTTGCATTATGGGAAGTACAACATCAAGTGTTTTTGGAGCCTGGCTTATACCAAGGACCAACATCTGGCCATCCTGTTTGTAATTTGTCTTTCACAAATGCCCCGTCTTTGCTGAAGTAGAAACACCAGGGCCACAAACTACATTTCCCAGAGTTAGTGCAGCTCTCAGAGGAGGCGTGGGATGACGAGGAGATGCAGACACACTGACTGTCAAATGCCATCTGCTGTTTCAATCAGTGCACTGTACAGGACTCAGCGTCACAACTACAATGTTTCCTGCTCAGCTAGAAATGTCTGAAATATCTTGAAAGTTATTTCCAGAGTTTTATTACAGAAGGAAAGCAGTCACTGAGAAGTGTCTAAAGGGATCACCCTTTACAACAAAAAACTTTTTGTAGTTTTGTAATGTTTCATTAGAGAACACAATGTTTGCTCGCTCAGCCTTTGTAAAATGTTTGCTAGCAGAGTTGCAGTCTTATTTTTTGTACTAATGTCTTGATGCCTTATTTACATTGGCTTCAGTTCTTCTGTGAACATTAATACATGAGGAAAAGAGAGTTTCAGGTGTCAGACTAAACACGAAGCCCTAAACACATGGTGAGCTGGCTCACTGCTCTGATTGCAACCTATTCAGTTCATTTTAAATAAGCGGTTTTTAGCTCAGTAATTTATTGCTTTATCCTTTTAGAAAGGCATCCAGGTCATTGTGCTCAGCCTTTTCAATAGTATTTGCTACAGTTCCTTGAAAAGTGAACACAGAATCAGTTTCTTCTCTTACAGAAAATGAGTTGGATGTAGATGGATCAGTTTCTGATGACACTGTGTTAGGAAACATATAGTACTGTAGAAGGAGTACACCTGAAGAGTTAATCAGTTTTACCATCTGAGGGCAGGAAAACCAGTTCTTTGGCTTTTTGCTGACATCTAGTGGTTGGTTTAGGTTAAGCATGTCTCTGTCTAGAAGTAGACATGTTTGTTGAAGTGGTGTGAACTATTAGATTTCATCCAAATTGGACACTTTCCAAGTCTATTTAAGGCTGTTATTTTGAATTCTGTGAATATGTTGTGGCTTTTTATGACCTGTATTGACTGTACTTCAATGCTAAACCTCCAGATAATTATTTAAAATGTTTAGGTTATGTATCGAAGTGGAACCAGTTTGACAATTTTGTGAGAGATGAAACAATACATCTTTTATCATCCTTTTCTTTCTTTTTTCAATAAAGTGCCAGTGTCACCCCATATTTTGTGACCATAGGGGACACTGTTACATGGCTGTTACTACTATATGGTACAATATTAAGCAGTATCTGTATTCCATGTGTGAAACAGGTGAAACACAGGTACCCAAAAACATTTAGATGTTTTTTTTAAAGCATTTTCCATTATGGTCAAAATTGGTGGACATACATAATGTGATTAATTATTTTTACAATTATTATAGATTACAATTATAAATTATTTGATATATCTGCTTTTTGTATTTCTCTTCTAGCACAACAGTAACTGTGGTTGGACAGATGTGATGGCCTGCCAAGCCAGTTGGCCCAGCCACTGTAAAACCAGAAAATGCAGAATATATGTCACCAAATAGCTCTTTGCTTGGTTGAGGATAGGATTTAATGTATAGGAAATCATTTTATTTACATTTTAGGTTGGTTTAGAGTTGGAAAATGGTGTTTCTTATGGCCCTGAGGATTTATGACAAGGTGGCCTGATACTCCCCACTTTGGGGTCAAATAATGGTTAAACATTTAACATTAATAATGAGCTTCCATAGGCTTTAAATTACAGTCACCAAAATGCTATTACTCATGCTGACTGCATAAGAGTTTATTACACCTGTGAACAAAGAGAAAAATAATTTCAACGTTTATGAAAAACAGAGATGGTTGACTTTGGCCTCTCTTGAACTTGGGTTTAAAGCACAGCCCACCACTGAAGTGACTATTAGATCACAACGTTTATTCCACATATCGGAGGTGTGGTTATCTAAATCAAGAAATACAAATAACAACAAATGATGAAATGATATTACACAATCGAACAGATACATCCCAAATTAACCATTTCTGGGTTACATACGTGTCTATATGACCTGATATCGCAGATGAAATGGACCGTGTAATAGTCCCAAAATAGCCACAGAAGGGCGTTCTAAGTCTACATAAGTAACACTAGCGAATACATAAGACGTCAATTCTTTAACGTAATTCGGCCTTTTTTCTTCTTACTACCAACACAGAATACAGCAAACTTTACTCACGTTCATGGACGCACACCAGAATGGGGGTAAACTTGGTAATACATTCCGACTAACTGGAACTCCGAACACAATGCTATTTAGCCCCTCACACGGTGGCTAATGTGACACACTCTGAAAACTGGAACATACCACTCGCGGGGGGAGAAACAAGAGGGGAGGAAAATGGAATAGTCCAAGTGACATTACCCTTTTAACAGACGCCCCCAGATTTTGTGAGAAAATCTGCACATATAAAAAAGGCCTAATGCCGTTACACAATGTTAATGGTCTGGCACTTTAGGAAGGCTGATGATCCTGGAGACAGGTCGAAGGTAGGAGCGATCCCTTACCCTCACTTCGACAGTCCTTACTTTACCATCAGGTGAAGGTGAAGTCTGGATGATCTGTCCAATAGGCCAACTAGCCCGAGGTAGCTGGGGGTCAACAACCAGTACTGTATCCCCAACTTGAAGGTTGGGAGAGTCAGAGCACCACTTCTGACGTGTCTGGAGGCCTGGCAGGTAGAAACGGATGAAACTCCTCCAAAAGTGGTCCGCACCAACAGTTGACTGTTGCCATCGCCGTCTACCAAGGAGCTCTGACTCTGTAATAGCCCAACTATCCCAAGGTAGCTGGGGGTCAACAACCAGTACTGTATCCC